AATGCTAATCAAAGGAATGTTCGATCTGGTCAGGTCATGCAGATTAATTCATAATGAGATACTTCGGACAAAATCATTACTCAATTTATGTGACATCATATTACCTTGCAAGATTTAAATGCCTTGTTATAAGATAGTTAATTTAAATAGTGTTAGGAAAAATATGAAACTACGTTAATGTAAAACCAATAGTTTTAAAATAGCATGTAAAAGATTACTTTTTTCTTTTAGCAGGAAGGGAGAGATGAGGGGTAGTGATTTTTCTATCCTACTCACCAGCTTTATAAGCTCAAAAAAAAAAAAGGGATTTAGCATCAAAAGAAAAAGAAAAATTGATGCCGAAGCTCCTCAAAGTGCATTATCATCATGAATTTTTCCAACTATCATGAGATTGAACCTTTTAGATGTTTCATCGCTACAGTATAACCCTCACTAAGCCAAAAGTGGGAAGAGGTCCTAGAGACATACATGGAAGAGAAGGTACACTCAAAAGTAGGGTTCAACATAATGCTAATCAAAGGAATGTTCGATCTGGTCAGGTCATGCAGATTAATTCATAATGAGATACTTCGGACAAAATCATTACTCAATTTATGTGACATCATATTACCTTGCAAGATTTAAATGCCTTGTTATAAGATAGTTAATTTAAATAGTGTTAGGAAAAATATGAAACTACGTTAATGTAAAACCAATAGTTTTAAAATAGCATGTAAAAGATTACTTTTTTCTTTTAGCAGGAAGGGAGAGATGAGGGGTAGTGATTTTTCTATCCTACTCACCAGCTTTATAAGCTCAAAAAAAAAAAAGGGATTTAGCATCAAAAGAAAAAGAAAAATTGATGCCGAAGCTCCTCAAAGTGCATTATCATCATGAATTTTTCCAACTATCATGAGATTGAACCTTTTAGATGTTTCATCGCTACAGTATAACCCTCACTAAGCCAAAAGTGGGAAGAGGTCCTAGAGACATACATGGAAGAGAAGGTACACTCAAAAGTAGGGTTCAACATAATGCTAATCAAAGGAATGTTCGATCTGGTCAGGTCATGCAGATTAATTCATAATGAGATACTTTGGACAAAATCATTACTCAATTTATGTGACATCATATTACCTTGCAAGATTTAAATGCCTTGTTATAAGATAGTTAATTTAAATAGTGTTAGGAAAAATATGAAACTACGTTAATGTAAAACCAATAGTTTTAAAATAGCATGTAAAAGATTACTTTTTTCTTTTAGCAGGAAGGGAGAGATGAGGGGTAGTGATTTTTCTATCCTACTCACCAGCTTTATAAGCTCCAAAAAAAAAAAAGGGATTTAGCATCAAAAGAAAAAGAAAAATTGATGCCGAAGCTCCTCAAAGTGCATTATCATCATGAATTTTTCCAACTATCATGAGATTGAACCTTTTAGATGTTTCATCGCTACAGTATAACCCTCACTAAGCCAAAAGTGGGAAGAGGTCCTAGAGACATACATGGAAGAGAAGGTACACTCAAAAGTAGGGTTCAACATAATGCTAATCAAAGGAATGTTCGATCTGGTCAGGTCATGCAGATTAATTCATAATGAGATACTTCGGACAAAATCATTACTCAATTTATGTGACATCATATTACCTTGCAAGATTTAAATGCCTTGTTATAAGATAGTTAATTTAAATAGTGTTAGGAAAAATATGAAACTACGTTAATGTAAAACCAATAGTTTTAAAATAGCATGTAAAAGATTACTTTTTTCTTTTAGCAGGAAGGGAGAGATGAGGGGTAGTGATTTTTCTATGCTACTCGTCAGCTCTATAAGCTCAACAAAAAAAAGGGATTTAGCATCAAAAGAAAAAAAAATGATCTCGAAGCTCCTCAAAGTGTGTTATCATCATGACTTTTTCCAACTATCATGAGATTGAACCTTTTAGATGTTTCATCGCTACAGTATAACCCTCACTAAGCCAAAAGTGGGAAGAGGTCCTAGAGACATACATGGAAGAGAAGGTACACTCAAAAGTAGGGTTCAACATAATGCTAATCAAAGGAATGTTCGATCTGGTCAGGTCATGCAGATTAATTCATAATGAGATACTTTGGACAAAATCATTACTCAATTTATGTGACATCATATTACCTTGCAAGATTTAAATGCCTTGTTATAAGATAGTTAATTTAAATAGTGTTAGGAAAAATATGAAACTACGTTAATGTAAAACCAATAGTTTTAAAATAGCATGTAAAAGATTACTTTTTTCTTTTAGCAGGAAGGGAGAGATGAGGGGTAGTGATTTTTTCTATGCTACTCGTCAGCTCTATAAGCTCAACAAAAAAAAGGGATTTAGCATCAAAAGAAAAAAAAATGATCTCGAAGCTCCTCAAAGTGTGTTATCATCATGACTTTTTCCAACTATCATGAGATTGAACCTTTTAGATGTTTCATCGCTACAGTATAACCCTCACTAAGCCAAAAGTGGGAAGAGGTCCTAGAGACATACATGGAAAAGAAGGTACACTCGAAAGTAGGGTTCAACATAATGCTAATCAAAGGAATGTTCGGTCTAGTCAGGCCATGCAGATTTATTTCATAATGAAATCATATTACCTTGCAAGATTTAAATGCCTTGTTATAAGATGGTTAATTTAAATAGTGTTAGGAAAAATATGAAATTACGTTAATGTAAAACCAATAGTTTTAAAATAGCATGTATACACATTTATTGTGCATAATGTCTTTTCTATTATAAAATCAAAAGTTCAATCATCATAAATCTAATTAAATAAATAATGTAAAATGAGGGGTACAAACATCCCTCAATTTACTGTTAAAATATTATATATTTATATGAAAACTACTATAAGACATAAAAATATATACAATCACTAAATATTGTTTTTATTTGTTATCAAAATAATTTAGGAAATTACAACTACAATAAAAATATTCAAAATGTTATAAAACTTAATTATTTTATGATATTGTATTTATATCATATTAAAACCAGTAATAAAATTAAAAATAACTTATGTTTTAAATAATAAAATGAATGAAATATGTACTAGTATGTATGCTTCAAAATATAAAACTAAAAAGTATGGTTATTAAAATTATAATTTGGTCCCATTTAGGCTTCATTTTGGGTTGACTTATACTTCATTTGGTATAATTTTTGAAAATTTGCTGTGTGAATCGACATTTCTAGCTGTATATTCTAAAAGAAGCTTACTAAAGTAAATTCTAAAAAAGGAGAGAAAAAGTTCTAAATTTTTTCATCAAAATGAACACTGATTTTTTGTCTACTGCTTTTTTATCCATAAAATTGGTCAAGAAGTTGTCCTAAAAGAAGCCACAGAAGCAAATTAAGCATTTGTTTTTCATTTTCCAAATAACATTATAAGATAATGATAAAAAGGATTACTGTTATATAAAATTTTGACCCTTAATTACTTAATTTTACATTGTATATATGATTCATGTGTACAATACTTCTAAGTTAAAATAAAATGTAATAAGTTGATCAAATATCTTCAACAATTTTATATTATATTTTTATTATCATGATATTTTGATTGTGGATTTCTTGCATTTTAATTGTATACTTGCTTTGTCTTCAACATTAATGCTAAACATATATCTATAGTAGGGATTTCTTATCATATAGAGACACTTTCAAGCTTCCTATGGGTATTTCTGGAGCGGAATTTCAACATCCCTACCATCAGCAGCATTTCCAATAACATAGGATGTTGAGAAATTTTTATATGATGAGATTAGGAGTCCTACAATCAAGCACAATTACTCCATTTGTTGGTTACAGCGTACACTATCGGAAAATTTATAGAAGCACATTATGAACTTCAACAACTACTACTCATCTTCTCTCTCTCTCTCTCTCTCTCTCTCGCTCTCATATACCCGTGTTCTTCTCTATTTTTGCCTCAAAAATATCTGTATTTCCCAATGTATTAATATCTCCATTCCAACTACCCTTTTTTGGTTCTCCTCTCAAGCTATCCTCTTTTCGTGAGTGCCTACCTCCGCTCTCTATGCAGATATCTGAAGAAAAAAAAAGGAAACCCATTACATGGTTTGCATTTTATTTTTTGTTTCATCTTCCAGTGGCCTTCCTTACCGAGACATCATTGTTTTCTCATCCTTAACCCATCACTCTATTAACATCTCTGGGGCCTAATCTACTAAAACCATTGCATTTCCATGGGAAATCAAAACATCCTTTTATTCTAAACCCCTCACTGCATCAAATAAACATATCCCTACGGAAACAATCATTGTATAATTTGTTGTGTAGACTACAAGCACAGGCAGCAAATCAGTATATAATGTGATCTATAACTTCAACCATGGCAAAAGACTTGAATTGCATCAGCAAGCCACTAGCATTTCAGTAGTTCTTTCAATATGTAAACTCATAAAAATAAATTATCATGATGAAAATCATTGGAAATTTATGTTACCTCTCTGAATGCACAACAGAAAACATTTAAACACTAACATTTGCAATCTAAAATGTACACAAAAAGTAATCATCTTATTGCGCATAAAACATATAAAGCCTTCTTTCATGTAAACTCAAAACATTATGGAATTTTACGCCCAAAGAAATGTAATTTTTTAATGCACCAAATAAAGTCTGACTATTTGGTTACCAGGTTAAGCCTATACAGTCTGTAGACTATTTCAGAGAAACTTCAGAAAATAGCCACCACCTAGAGAGCCTAAGATGTTAGTTGTTTCTCACAACAGAGTACATTAATTGAAAAGAAAAAAAATCATGAACACTATGGAGAAAAAATAAACGTGCTACATAAGCTCATGTGCATTTGAGTAAAAAAAGACCATAGGAGGTTAAGCAAGTAAAAATTTGAGGGTTAAATATGCAAACATTCGAGATTAATATATTACATGCCATTATGTACATACAATTTGCTGAATTGAAACCATATCACTTCAACAAAATAGAGGAGTGACAAACTAGTGTTTCAATTCTTACATTTTGGACCCAATGGATACCATGCGCAATAACTTCCTCTTTACGCAGCCAATGTAATTGCCTCAAAATCCAGTCATCAATAGCATCTTCCATTATTAGCTGCAAAATCTGTTTTGAAATCCAGAATACTTGCCTCCTGTAAAACAAAGGATCACAATAAACAAGTGTAAACAGAATAACATTAGCCTTATTGATGTCAAATGATAAAAAATCTAAGATGAATTTACAGATAGTGCAACTTGAACATTCCGATATAAGGGCATCATATTCACTCAGACTATGTAACAAAGATACTCAACTCTGCCCTTCTAATGGTATAATGCTTCAAGGAGAAGTGAACAGTGACAAATTACCAACATGTCAACTCAAATACATATGAAAAGCAAGTGAGAGTTCAATACTACTCATTCATCAATGAACTAAATTTCAAAGAAAAAAATATAGAATTTGAAGCCCAAGACGAATAGTTGTGTGGTTGGTAAGTTCAACTAAATGGCTACATCAAGGATAAAAAAGAGAAAAAATTAATAATAAATTATTATTTCGCTTAAAAAAATATGGCAAAATTGGCACTGCAACCCTTCGAGCAGAAAACTTTTGATTCTATGGTCCCATAAAATGAGTAAATATTGCTTTGAATATTGGATGAATAGAACACTTGTGTGCATAAATATGTTTTAGATGCATTGTACATGTGACTTTATGTTCTAAAGACATAAATAAGGGCTCCCTCCAGGGCAGCCAAATGAGTCGTTTGGCTAGCAAGGCATTTGCCACACAAGTTCAGGCATTTCCCCATGTACTCAGAGCGCACCTTTTATCTCATTTTATAATATAAATGAACTTACATTAATCTATACTTTCCAAAAATTAGAATGCAATAATACCAATCTAACCATCCATTTTAAAAAAAATTCCAATTTTCCGTAGGCTTCCACAAACATTAAATACATATTTTTGAATTCTAAGGGCTGTATAGATTTCTAGAAGTTCGAATTAAAAGCATAAAAAGGATATTTTTTATGAATGTATTATGAATATAATCATACATGGATGAAATATATAGAGTTATGAGAACAGAAAGTGTTAAATTCCAATTTCGAACGTTGACCTTTCAATATTTTTCAGAACGAACTTATTATATCTTTGCTAAATTCTTTTGGTCATCAATTTCTCCTCATTTCTATCACCATTTACTTGCATTGTTTTTATTTTTCAATTACTTTGCAACAAAAAATAAATAATTTTTATCCTTTAAGCACTCTTTAATTAAGAGAATTTTCAATAAATATGCCTCAAAATGTGCATATTTGGATAAATATGCCCCATGATCTTTTATTTGGAGGGACAAATGGTGCCCAATAAGCACCTGTTCCTTCTTCCAAAAATGCAGTTTGGGGTCTAATGGACATCAGCTTCTGTTAATAAATGTTGAAGAATAAGCACCTGTTCCTTCTTCCAAAAATGCAGTTTTAAAGAACATAAATAGTTGAAGAGGGACATCAGCTTCTGTTAATAAATGTTGAAAACGAAAAGAAAAATAATTACGCAATTTTTTTTTTCATTGGAGCAAAGAACATAAATTTTGGTGCTTATTTAAATTTTCCATGATTATTGAAGGTTTGGTAGCTTTGTCACTAAGAAAATAGTTGAAGAGATAACTAGAAGTACAAGAGTCGTTGAAAATAATCAGGATGGTAACAAGAACTTCACATTGAGCCCGAAAAGGCCAACATGGAATATGTGTTAGAGAAGATGCTTAGAAGCACTTTTGCTTTGTTGTTGATGGTTTGCCCCTCAACATATACAAGAGGAACAATGTTTTGCTTGCTAAGATGCTAATAATAGTTGAGCGAGAGGAAGATTTTTTTGCATCCCCATGGAAAGATGTCATGGAAGAGGGCATTTAAGGGGCTTGAGAAGGAGAATCTAAATTAATGGGAATGCCTTGAAGGTGGAGAATAAAATGGGAAGGAAAGCCAAATAAGGTATACAATAATTGGATTTGCTACCTCATAGCAGTATTAGGCTTATGAAGCTATTTCAAAGCTAGGAAAGAATATATTGAATTACCTATAGGGATACTGAGCTGAAAGAGTAATAAAAGTGTTCACATGCAAAAATATTTTACCACTTCAAGATGATAATGGAATTCATATACACTATTATATTTCAAATGTTTTCTATGTCTAGTAATGGCAACTAAATTTGGCAGTTATGTTGAATATTTTCAATGCAAACAATATATAGCCATGCACTCGTGCATAGAACTGATGAGGAAGACATTTATAAATACTGCTCGTTAGCCTCTCCCGATTAGAGTTGCAAAGAAGAAACACAACCATAAATTTTGCTAACGAGATAGGTAGAGGTGGTCAAGCTTAGGCAATACAAGAAGAGATGCAATGAGCGCAAAACTAAGATGAGTTCATGCCCTCCTCCTACAAGAGCATTTGTTCTAGTTGGGGAATTGAAGAATAATCAACTCAAAATTGAGCATAAATCAGGTGCACTAATTGAGTTTATACATAGAAAAAAAAAGAAGAGGATTCATTTCCTAAGAGGGCTATGACAAAAAATCAAGAAATCACACGAGATGTTTCATGGATCGGACTAGTCTAAGTAGTTTCAAACAATATGTAAATTGTGTTAAAATTTAGTTCAAAAATGTTGTTTAATATAGCGTAAAACATTACAGAGCCTCGACAATCATCAACAAAATGATATAACAATTTAAACTTCACAGCATAACAAACTATTAGAGCATTACAAAGACTGGTAATATTATAATCATAAATAAGAAAATCATTTAGCATTACATTCAAAATATATCACTAACATCATATTCAATAACACCATTACATCAATACATAAACTCGATAATCATCAATAATAATCTCAATACTCATTTAAAAAAATTATAGGATTACAAAGACCTAAATTGATTACATAAATTAACAAGTTGGTAGAGGTTAACATTAAGACTTACAAATAACATGAATATGGTTTTTTCATTCCACATCAGTTGCAACAGCGTTGTGGCGAATCTTGCCACCCCTTCGAAGGTCCCTTACTTTTCTTTTATTGACTACTCTTTGGCTTCACTAATGATGGGAAAATGAAAATGATTCTTATTTATTCTAGAATCTCCATTGTGTCGTCTTTCCCATGAAATACATATGTTTAGAATATGAACTCAATCATGCACCTTGAGTTTAAAATCTGGAGTATAAGCTATAACGACATCCTAACATGAGCTACAGTCAATACATGCTCATACACATTATATCAAACATTCTATATGAGTATGTCTTCCTCTATATATTCACCTCACCATCAAGGCCAATATAAAGTACTCGAAATTTAATTGGCTAACGGAGTAAAAAAATTAATGCTTAAGCCTTGGTTGAGAGTTTGTACAATGCCTCTGCCATTTCATTTGATAAGGTGAATTTTGCATATGATATGGTGGTATGACTTTTAAAGAACTATTTTTGTGATCTATATTATAAGGTGATTATTGGACAGGAACGTGCACTTTTTGTGATTTATTAAAGCTTTCTGAAATAGAAACCTTTATTAAATTGTATTAATTCTTAAGAAAGATAGCACATGCCCACCTCTTAATATCAACTTCATTCTCTAACTAGACAACAATGGCTGAAATTTGATCTTATCAGGATGTCAATAGAACTCAGCCCATACATAAGTTTTCCGAAACAAATGACATTCCTTATAACAGTTGTTTGCTGTCGCAATATTCATCATAATTTGATGAGCACAAGCTCCATGATAAGCCTTCGGAAGCACTTAATCAAAGGCATTGGCTTATATTCACATCTTAAGCCATAGATATGGCAATATCCAGACATAATAGAAAGAAATATTTCATTTACAGTAAGCACTGTGTGACATGCACCTTTAAAGACATGAATATGCGTGACATGCACCTTTAAAGACATGAATATAAGAACCAAAAAAAATATATTTAAAAGATATGGAGTGGTTGCATAACAGTTATGGTGGTTGAACTTTTCTTGTTTAGCATGAAAATATATGATTATAGCTTGAAAAAGAAAGCTCTAAGCGCGTCTCTTATATAGGTGATTAACTGTACATGATACCACCGAACAATCTCACAAGATAAATCTACCATGTAGTTCCTCATAAAATTAGATATTATAGCCTTTAGTTACAAATTAAGGTCTCAATCAAACAGACTTTTCCATAATGCCTAAAAAGATAATGATTGAGCTTGTCAACGATTTTTACCTCTAACATCCAGACAACTATGTTCTGAACGAAAGCTCTGAACCTCAAACTTGACCTTACCAACAATCGAACTTGCATGCTCTATTTAATTTTTTTAGAAGTAGATTAGACGTACCAAAAATATATCTGAGATTTATTCAACTTGAATTTAATTTTTTTTCATCGCAAACAAATGCAACTTATTCATACATGCATGTTCTCAAATTTGCCCAACTTCTATACAGGAAAAAGATATACTCGACATGATGCCATTATATCAAAAGCCAATAAATTAGACATATTTTAAGGAATCGACCATCATAGAGTGAGTTACCCATGTACTCTCCATCTCATGAAAAGTTATTTTCAGATTTACGGCACAACAATACTTAAAAGATTTTGCCTGTTTATAACTCTCAGCTATATCATATGGTAGAGTCTCTCTAATAAAAGCTTTACAGTATTAAAGCATATATAAAGCCATGAACATTTTCATCCTGAATGATTTTAGCATCACCTTCATCTTGCTCTCAAAATTAAAATCCAGTCATCATTAGTAGGTACAGAGCTGACTGGTCTTCAATCAACCTCATTTGGAACAATCGGCTCTATCCGCATAGGACTACATTGGCCGTGATGATAATATGAAATTAAAAACTTTTTGGGAAACTAAAAGTACAAATAGAAGAATAGAGTTGAAATGATATAAAAATTTCATTGATGAAGATTAGAAGTTCTGATTTTAATGCTATTGATATGAAAAGAATTAATAAATTGGATTGTGCTCCAATAGAATGATACAACACCAACTTCAAATTAAAATAGTTCTAATCCTTCTCTAAATATAGGCGCAGAAAATCTATTAAGTTTTTCAAATGAACACTT